ATATATATATATATATATATATATATTTGGTAATATCCAGACTCTATTAATTACTAGCTGTGTGACTTTGTGCAAGTTACTAAAACCCTTTTTATTCATTTTCCTCATTTGTAATATCTATATATATAATCTCTATATATAAAAGCCTAAATGACCAGCAGACCGGCCAACTGTCTGGTAGCTATGATGCACACTGACCACCAGGGGCAGATGTTCAAAGCAGGAGCGGAAACCACAGGCATGGTAACATGGAACAGTCTGATGAATCTCAGAGGGAAAAGAGGGGAGGGCGGGAAGAGATTATATGCATACTAGAGGCCTGGTGCACGGAATCATGCACCAGTGGGGTCCCTTGGTCTGGCCTGCACCCTCTCACAATCTGGGATCCCTCTGGGGATATCAGAGAGCCGCTTTCGGCCCAATCTCACATGCCTGGCCTGCAGGGATCTGGCTGAAACCAGCCCGATGCAGATTGATGTACTGATGGGGTTCCTCGGGCTGGCCTGTGGGAATTGCCGAAACCGGCTCTTCGACATCCCCTGAGGGGTCCCGAATTGCGAGAGGGCGCAGGCCATGCCCAGGGACCCGACCCGTGCACGAATGGGCCTATGGTGGGTTTGGTAATACCTATTGCATAGGGTTGTTTTAAGAATTAAATGAGTTAATATATTTAAAGAATTTAGAACAGTGCCTGGAACATAGTAAGCACTAGGTAATTGAAGAGCTACTACTGTCTTACATTTCTTACAGCATGAGATGTCACTGAACCACTCTTACATATTTGGGGAAACTATAGCTCACAGGGAGTTGAGTCCAGAGTTACCCAGATTAGTTTGCAGTCCTGATTCTAAAGCTTATTAATTCTGTCTGCCTTAACTATATTTTGCCCTGGCTCCCAAAGCATGATAATTGGATGTTCAGGCAGGGAGGTTTATTGGCATCATGGCAAGCAGAAACTGAATATACTTTTGGAACAAGAATTCAGAATTAAAGTTGGGGCTCACATTGTCATTTGGGCTGAAGGAAAGAGATTGGAGTCGAGTAATTAGACCATTCAGGATTAACTGAGTCTGAGGATCAAGGGCTATGCATAGTAATCAAGTCAAAATTGTTCCTGGGAGTAGGGATGCACTGATTCTGTGGGTGTTGAAAGTAGCAATAGCTGCAAGGAAGAGTACTGTGGAAACTGGTAACTAGGCTATCATTAGTTACTTCATTTCTCAGTCACATGTATTTACTCATCTCATTATACAAGACCAGCTATGCCCAGATATTAGCTGGACTCATGAGCTCCTGAACTCATGGTTTATATGTCCTTTGCAATAACAAGTTTCATCTGTTTCCTGATGGCTGATGACATAACTGACTTGCCTATCTGGATTCCTGACTTCTGTCTTTTTACCTCTCAAAATTTGCTGGCCCCTCCAAATCCTGCCAATCCAGATTCCTTACTGCTTTCACATAACTGACTTGATACCTTTTTCCTTTTATGTTAAAATTTTCATTTGTAAAAGTAATTCAGCTATATCCTTTTTGTTATTTCAAGTTGATTTCAGAGAGAGGAAGGGGGGGAGAGAGAAAAAGGTTGATCTTAGAGCGAAACATCAATTGGTTACTTGCTGCATGCACCCTGACTGGGGATGGAACCCACAATCTGGGCCATGTGTCCTGACTGGAATCAGACCTGCCACCTTTTGGTGTACGGGATGACGCTTCTACTAACTGTACTACACTGGCCAGGGCAGCTACATCCTTTTTAAAGTCAAACATAATGTGAAGTTTATAATAAAATGATGAGTCCCTTACCACCACCCAGAAGCAACCTCTGTTAGCTTTTTATTTATTTTTTATTTTTATTTTTTTGTCTTTGGATTTTTCTTTTTATTGCTTAAAGTATTACAAAGGGTATTACATATGTGTCCATTTTTGCCCCCTGCCCTTGACAGTCCCCTATCCTCCCCTATCCCCCAGTGTCTTATGTCCATTGGTTATGCTTATCTGCATGCATACAAGACCTTTGGTTGATCTCTTACCCCCCTCCCTCCTGCCCCCCAACCCTGTTAGCTTTTTAGAAATGGAGAGAAAGTGAGTCTGTATTTACCTCCCTCCCTCCTATGGTGACCTCCAGCATAAAGCCACACCCGAGGAGAGCCCTGCTCCCAGATTCAGTCACCCATGCCAGTATTTATTTAACCATTTGTTGTTCTTTCTAGGATTGAATTCATGAATTCTAAATTCATTCCTCTTTATCATTATTTTTTGCTCATACCAGATCTTTTCTTGTTGGTTGGTTGGTTGGTTGGTTGGTATGTATATATGTATCCATTTCTTTTTATCTCTGTTTTTCTCTTCCCCTTCTATACCTTAGATCAGCAATTTTCAACCTTTTTCATCTCATGGCACATATAAACTAATTACTAAAATTCTGCAGCACACCAAAAAATATATGCCGATCTGGCAAAAAAAATAGGTGTAATTTTGATTCATTCACACCAGACAGCTATTGTTGTATTGGCTATTGTCATTTTTTAATTTGATAATCTAAGGGAAAAGAGGTAGGTGCCTCTAA